ATTTGAGCAATTTTAACAACTAAATATTTTTCATAGAGCTTAATAATGTATTTTAAAATGCAATTTACTATAAAAACACAGAGACATTAAGTGCTAATTTCATTGTATATGTCAACTTTTTGGTGATCACAATATGAAATATACTGTCACACTTCCCGACTTTCTACCAGTGCAGAAAAATGATGCGTGTCAAGTTTCTTTAAGTAAAGATCTGAGATTATCCTCAGAAGCCATTTGTTCATGGCACACAGTGTTTTTAAAATGTTTCTATCTGGATCAGCTGGCCCTGTTCTGTCTTTTGACTTATTCAAACATAGGATGAAACAGTTGATTTTAGATAATGGGTTAGATTTCCCCTTCCTGACTTCCAGTCTCATTTGAGCTATCTAAGATGGATTTGAAGTGGATGGGGAGCTGGTCTCAACTCTAAGACTCTTTTCCTTATTTGATCAGACATGTTTTCTGTAGTGATTTCCCTGATGCTCTTAGTTCAAACTCTGGGTCATGGATCAGAACAGGGAGGCTTTGTAAAAASCAGTTTCTATAAAGAATTATGGCTATCAAGAAGGAACCAGAAGGAAGTGAGGGGAGCGAAAAAATTGCTTAAGGGAACTGGTGTGAGTCTAGATTCCAACACTGACAGAAAAAGAAAGACTCAGACCAGTTGAGGGATTTGGCAACATATCGGGTGGGAGGGACCTGGAAGAGGATCTGCATTCCTTGGTCAGGCCTGGCTGACTGCTGTCATTTCCCTCTGTCTGCTATGTGCTGTAGTGGATTCTTCAACAGCCAAAATTATACTTGTTGCTAAGAATGTGACTTTGGCAGGGAATTTCTGTCTCAGAAGAGCAGAAAACAGAGAACTCTATGAGAGAAGAGGGGGTAAGCTTGGAGATGACATGTCCAGACCTCTAATTAGTGAAAAGGAGATATCCCACTGCAGGTAGCCAGCAGGATGAGCTTTAAAACTCGGCTTTGACCTTGCCTAAGAATTACAAGCTCACAGCATTCAAGATATTAAGTGAAAAAAYGTTTTACAGTGGCAATTACCACAGAAGAGGAACAATACTGTGAAAATGAAGAGAAAAGGAGAAAATGTRTTTTCATGGTGTGTGTGTGTGCGTCCACTGAAAATCTGCATGTGTAAGACTTGTGCCAGTTTGAAATTGTTAAAGAAAGTGAGACTGTTGAGAAATCAGAGCTTGATAACATACAACTAATTTGAAATAGGATGCACTCATATCCAATTTTCTACAAGGAAAGTTTGAAGTTGCCAGTCTTTAATGTGCCCTGTGAACCTCCAAGCATGAGATATCATCTACAACTTACCATACTCTTTCATCACAGAATTTTTTTTCTTTCAGGAGCAGCTCTTGGGATTAGAAAATGTTTTAAAGTTCCTTCCCACCCTGAAATGCTAGCATTTTATGATTTTCGAAGAAGTCCAGATTTTTAGAGACAAATTAATATGGCAAAGAAAAATATTCTTTCAGGCTCCCAAACCCTTAAAAACAAATTTCACTGGTTCTCATTATACCACACACTTATAGGGAAATAATAATAACTCAAGTGCCTCTTTCTCTACTTATTAGCTGATTACAGTTCCAGAATTCATGATGTGCTGCTCAGCTCAATGAACTCATTTGTCAGCTTAATGTATGTCTGTGACTAACTCTAAYTTCCTAACATTTTTTCTTTACCAAATGTGCTTCATAAATAAAGCAGATGCACCTGCATCAACAAAATGCAAGAGTTGATAGAAAAATAATGCAAATTTATAAATTAAACATAAATTACCCCATAAAATTGGAAAGCTGGCAAGRATGCAAGAAATCTCTGGATGTACATGGATGTTTAACTATAAACAAGGCTGTTTTTAAGTCATTTCAGAAATAGATCCTATGGGGAATCTCTTTTAAAAGCATATGAGAAGGCAAGGCATAAAGGTCACCTTTAAAACACAGGCCACCATTAATATTTATAGCTGTGTCTGGCTCTTCTAGATGAGACAAAACAATCGTAGTCATGTCCTGCAGTCATCTTTGGAGCATTATAAAATTCAGGTGACTGCACCCCTCTTCCTGGAAATTATGGTACAGTAAGCTTAGAGTTGAGTCTAGCTCTTTGTAAYTTTGTAAAGGTCCAAAGGTGATCTCAATGAGCAGTCAAGGGTAARATCCACTATGCACCCTGTAGTATGGGGTGGATACTATAGTTGCTGCCTATAACCCCTCACCGTAGGATCAACCCAGCCAACCACTCAGCTGCTAAGAGGTTGGCCTCTGACTTTCTCCAGTTGTTGCCCCCCATAGGCCAAAGGGACCTGCCTCACTCAAGGTTGTCCCCTTGGGGTCAGCCTGCATCTAATGAGTGGTCAAAGTGGGGGAAAAAAACAGAGGACCAATCCACTTGCCTACGTAAATAMCTAACCGCTTATGAATTAGGGTTACATGGCGTTGGGGAGTCACTGGGTCAAAAAAGTGYGAGGATGGGCTCAAAGCTGGTTTTGCCTAAGGCTGTTAGTGGCCTAGACAATTCATACAACCTCCTGAATCTCAATTTTTAATTCTTAAAATGGGAGCAGCAATGAGAAAAACAGCAATGGCTATATAACCTACTATCATGATTATTTGTGAAGATTCAGCAAGATCATGCTGAAATATAAACTACGAATCATATAAAATATTGAGAGTTAGTTATATTTTTAAGCTAAAAATAACCACATAATATATGAAAGAAAGTTATCAAGGTACAACACGACAGTAGAAGTAAAAAAAATGTTTTAATCCCCAAATATGTATAAATACATATGTATTTATAACATGTTTAATTAATTTCTTCACTGATGCATTCAATGACTTAAACTAATGAAACAAATGGTTTTGCTTTCTTATGCTGCTACTTTTACATAGAGCTAAAATCAGCCATATAAAGAAATACTCTCAGATACTAAGACAATTCAAGATCTTTTCAACAAGTAAAGCTGGGACAACTCCACATCCACAGGCAAAGAAATGAAGATGAACCCCTAATTCACACCATATACACAAAATAATTCAAAATGAATCAAAGATATATAAGCTAAAACTACAAAGTTATAAGAAGAAAACAGGCATAAATTTTCATGATCCTGATTATTCTTTTTAAAAATATTTTTTAGTTTTACATGGACATAATATCTTTATTTTGATTATTTGTTTTATTTTCTTTTTAGTTGTAGATGGACACAATGCCTTTATTTTATTTTATTTTTTCAGTTTTATGTGGTGCCAAAGATCAAACCCAGTGCCTCACACATGCTAGGCAAGTGTTCTACCCCTGAGCCACAACCCTGGCCCCTGTTTATTTATTTTTATGTGGTACTAAGGATTGAAACCAGTGCCTCACCTATGCAAGGTAAGTGCTCTGCTACTGAGCCACAACCCCATTGATCATTCTTAGAAAATAAAAAAATGATAACTTGGGCTTCATCAATATTAAAATGTCTATGTTTCAAACAATATCATCAAGAAAGTAAAAAAAAAAMCCCATGGAATGGGAAAAAATACTTGAAAATCATGTATCCTATATTGGACTTGTATTTAGAATATTTAAAGAACTGGCAATTCCACAATAAAAAGTCAAATAACTCAATAAAAATGGGCAAGATAGCTGTGTAATACGTATATGGTCAATAAACACAAAAAGATGCTTAACATCATTAATCATTAGAGAAAKTCAAATTAAAACTGTATTGGGATGCTATTTCATACCTACTAGAATAACTATAATGGAAAGAGAGATAATAAGAATTTATAATGATATAGCGAAATTGAAGCTCATACACTGTAGGAATGTAAAGTGGTATAGCTGCTTTGGAAGATGGTCTGCCAGTTCCTTAAAATGTCAGAGAGTTACCATTATGACCCAGCAATTTTACCCCTAGAGAAACAAAAACATATTTGCATAAAACCACTAAAGGTGTCTCAGACATGCAGAAGTGAGACCACAATGAGGGGAGGGGGAAGCAAAAGAAAAAGGGGGGAAAGGGAATCCCATAAAAAATCGAAGAGAGAGTGGAGTAGAAGAAGGAGGGAAGAGGGTCAGAAAAGTGAAAAATGTTGGAATGAATCTGACCGAACTCTTCTATGTACGTAATGTACATACCACAGTGAATCTCTAAAACAAAGCAAAAGAAAAAGCCTAGTACAGAACATCTATAACAATGTTATTCATGGCAGCCAAATGGACAAATAAAATGTGTTATATCCATAGAATGAAATAGTAGCTGGCAATAAAAAGAGATGAAAACACTGATACGTTATGACATAGATGAGCTATAAGAAATCACTCATAAAAGACAATATATTAAATGATTCCATTTATAGGAAATGCTCATGTTGGCACATCTACAAAAAACAAAAGTAGATTTGGGAATTTTAAGGGGGCTCAGGAAAGAAAGCAACAAGTGATGACTACCAAAAGGCATTATTTTTCCTGGAATGATGAAAATATTCTAAAATTGATTAGGTGATGGTTGTGCAACTCTATAAATATACTAAAGATTGGTACACTATACAGTTTTTAAGCRGGTGGTTACTTAGGATGTGGATTCTATCTCAATAAAACTATTATTTAAGGAATAATCCCATGAGCTGAAGACATAAGACAGATGGGAACAAGAATTTAAATATAATCCATGGCAAAGATGTTTATTTTGCTTTGTTTATAAGTGAACATAGATCACTGTCTGCTATTAAATAAATCAAACCACAAATCTCATGCATGGGAAAGAGTGTGGCCAGGAAAAAATGACTGGACATCCTATTTGTCCCACCAAAATGGACTCAAAAATTCTTAGTGACTCAGATTAAAGCAAACAACAACCTACCACTGGCTGGACCACATTCAAGTTTACAGGAAATGACAGCCCTTTAAAAATGGGCTTTGAAAAGTCATGTTCATAGGAAATAAGGACATCTGCATCAACAACTTCCCCCAAATAAAAGTCAAAACATTACCTGTGAGCTTTCAGGATCCGCTGGGCGATAGCATCGCCTATTTTGTTGAATACTACTTTGTCATCAGCACAGCTTATGAAAAATTGGTTCTGTGAGGAAAAAAAGGGGCCATCATGAAGGCATTCCTTTCTTAGTAGTTTACATATAGTCTAAGGAAAATGTAGTCAATAAAAATGACATTTGTACTTTTAAAAAAGTGTGTCACACAGCAGCTGTGTTCTGATCACATTGGGAAAGCAAATGACACAGAATCAAAGCACAACCATCTGACTCTGGGTCTCATGCACAGTCTAGGTCCTTGATTACTAAGAACACCCTCCTCAAGAGGCAGGCTGCACTGGTACTTCACCCTCAAACTTTTAAATTACATTCTTAGAACATAGAATATTCCAGAGTTAGGGTTTTTTTTTTCAGATTCACATTTTATATAAATGCTCATGATTAAAAATTCTATATTGATAAACATCCTGTCTCATGCTAAATTTACTTTTTTTTTTTAACAAGGTAGACTACAGATCTAATTCTCTACACCTTTCTCCATTATTTCCTTGAATTTACTTTCATGTTTTCTGTCTCTCTCTCTCTCTCTCTCTCTCTCTCTCTCTCTCTCTTTTTTGGAGGATGGGTCCTCTGATTATTCCTGAACTTCTATTTTAAGGATTTTCAAATCTCTTTTGTTAGTACGTTGTATGTATATTCTTATATAATATATACATTTTATACATAAAATATACTAATAAAATGGAAAAAGAAATAGTTCTCTAAGTAGTTCTGGTATTCATGCATCTATAAAACATCCTTTAAAACTATTACTAGAAACTCAGCTATGGCATTATCATCATAATGGTGGAAAAGATTTTGTTGCTGCATAAGGGGATGTCAAAAATTAAATGTAAATATTATGTGTTCAAATAGAATCCAGATTCTTATAATGCAACTGTAATTTCTAAGGACAATCATCTTGAAGCAATATTTGTTAATCATCTCGAGGTATGAAGATTTATAAGCAATAACTCAAAATATGATTACCCTCTGTTTGTAGCATTATCATTTTTATGACTCACAAATGTTTACACTTAAAGTACACAAATCTGCAAAATGCCTCAGGAGAAGAAAAACTTATAGGAAGACACTGTGCAGGAACTCATTTGAGACTGTGGTTTGCTGTAGGGCATTAAGCAAATGAAATCCCAATGGCAACTAAACCATGTTTTTGTTTTCTTAATTCATAATACAAAGGAGTTTAGTATTCCTCCACAGCTGTGAACACAGACTGGCCACATGTTGTGTCCTTTACTTCTTTTCTTTTTGGAGGAGTACAGTGAATGCTACCTTACCTAGACTAGAGGAGTGTCAACCTGGCCCATGTCCAAGATCATGTGTACCTACATGGCATTACCATGTGTACCTACATGACACTACTGACACCATTTAATGCCATGCTAGTGTTTTAAAAAAGGCAACATGAAAACTACTAAAAAAGAGTGAGCCAGCTTTAGCATCTTAAATTACTATGGTACAACTGTCAAAGGCAGTAGTACTAATGGCATTACTATCCTCTAGACTTTGTACAGAGTTCACTAATTTTCCCACTAATGTTCTTTATGTCATGATCCCAGTCAGGATATCATTTTGCATTTAGCCTGCTAATATTTTAAATTAGCCTTTCCTTTCTCCAGGCCTGCAAAATAAATAAGCCTCCAATTCTTTGCTGTTTGCCTTTAATGAATTGTCACAGTATGCAGAGGGAGCAGGCAAGCACTCAAGGAGAAAGAAAATAGGGCTAGAATGATTCTCTCCTGCTCATCCACCGCCCTTTCACCATTTTATTCAATAGGAAAAAAAAGTTAGAATAAGGGAGATGAACTCTGATGTATTTTTTCCATTATTGGGACTTTTTATTTTCTCAGGGTTTTCCAAGTGCCCTGAACTATTTTTATGTCCACTTTGAAGTGCAATTAAAGTTCCCAGACTAAACTCAGTGTTCCCAGATTTTCTCATATACTCTGCACACAAACTCTGGGATCTGAAACCCCTTTCTAATGAATGGTAGGTCACAGAGGATTGAAGAAGGTGGTTCCTGCCTTTAACAATCTCACATCTTCCTTTTCCATGTTCATTTCCCTGTACTCTCCATWGTCCAACATCCCCAAACCAGTGACATTGCATGGTCTCTTTAGCTACTATGTCTCTCTATATGTGTGCTGACCAAAAATAGCACATGCCTCACATCTCAGCCCTCCAACCAAGCCACAAACTGACACATTCATGTTGGGATATTTTTGGCAAACAATATTACAGTGAGTTGACACATTTTAATAACATGGATTTGGGAGACCCCCATTATACACTTGAGTCAATGACAATGCAGAGTGAATTTCAGGGGAGATCAATAGTCAGGTGATGGGAATTAGCAGTTCTCCAGCACTCTTCACAGTTCTATAGACACATATTAATATGGCAGGTCCTGAACCTGTGTTCTCGGTGACATTTCTGGGCAGGCAGTTTTGCACAATGTGTGACATGAGCAGGACTTACTTCAATGTAGATATAGTGCTTGCTGTTCTCTATCACATAGATGTAAGCAGCATGGATGGACTCTTCATGGTACTTTATGCCAGCAGACCAATCAGCAGCAGAGCGGAGCAACTACCAGGCAGCAATCAGCAATGAGCAAATATCAGACAACGGAAACAAGACCAGATGTATTAATGCAATGAAGTCACCCCTTTTCCTTCTAAACAACTGAATAATCACAGTGGCTTGAGTGTCATATTGTGGGACAAGGGATAGTTGTGGGGTGAGGAACACTGCTGAGATAGAGATGAGAGGAGACTAATCATTGTATACAAAGGAGCCCAGCTGGAAAATACATCCTGAATATAYCCTCTTCCACCCTGAATTATGTTTATTCAAAATTGGAAACCATACCTGTGGTTTCACAAACAGGATCTCAAAAGTATCTCTTCTGGTGGCTGCAAGTAATGTAATCATTTGTACTCCTTTCCTGGACTCCCACAATTGCACCAGAAAGCCTGTCTTTTTAATGTATTTATTAATAGCACCCACTTTTACTCAAAGTGTCTTAATTTGGATGACATGATAGGGTCTTATTAGCTTTGACTTAAGAATGTGATTATTATTTTCTCCCAGAATAGATAGCAATCAGATTACACATTTTAAAAGATAGTTCATTTAGGTTTATGACCTGGAATCTGCCTTTCATTAGCTGTCTAACCTTTGGTATCTCACCTTAACTCTAAATTTTCTTTTGTTGATTATAATAGGAACCCAGTAACAGGTAAGAAAACAGGTTTGGATAAGAGCACACAGGGTCATGGAAGTGCCAACACTGAAACTAGAGGTTTTCATTCTATATCCTAGACCTGACCACCATGCTACACTGTTTTGCTCTTTCACCACATCTGTAGGTTATACCAATCAATTTGGAGTTGACTTCATCACCTTGATGAGTCAGATCAAAGCTGAACTCCTGACCACTTCCCCTAAACTGCTTCCCATCTCAAATACCCCACTGCCTGGGGGCGCGCCATCATTTGATCAGTCTTTAAAGTTAGTGACCTTTGGGGCTCTTTGGCATGTCCCCTCTCCTCAGTGTCCATAACCAGTCACATATCTGGTTCTATTTACTCTTTCGAAGATTTACCAGATTCTTTCTTATCAATCACACTGCATCCTTCTATTAGAACATGTACCTGCTCCTACCTGGATTACAAGAATTTCTAGCTCAGACCTAAGTATAGCTTAAATACTCTGATGCAGAACAGTACTAGCAATTTCTGTACTATAAAATGGAGTGGCTACTTTCTAGGTATATAGAGAGAATTAAATGAATTACTGTGAAATGGATGACAGGCGGTCTGGCCCCTAATAAGTGGCATGGACTTATTATTAATAAGAGCACTAGAGGATGCATGTGAGCTGTGGGAGATCACATCAGAGATGCTGCCCAGCACACTGTGGCTGTGCATGGCAGGGGGAACAGGGGTCGTGGAAGCTTTCCCTAGGTTTCTCAACACTAAGCAACATTGGCTGTCATTTTTCCTTTAGCATTCTCACTAGTATTGAGGTATGACATAAGCACACAGTAGGTTGGCACTCAATGAATACCCACTGACTTTTTTTTTAAAAAAAATGGTTGTTAAAGATGGACAGAATGCCTTTATTTGTTTATTTTTATATGGTGCTAAGATCAAACCCAGTGCCTCACACATGGGAGGCAAGTGCTCTGCCACTGAGCTACAGCYCCAGCCTTCACTAACTTTCTTAAACAACAGCATGACATTACAGAAGACTCACTATAAAAATAGGTTTGCTATTCCTGATTGGAAATGGATGCTGAAATTGTCTCTCAGAAGGTTAACTTAAAGATAAAAGGACTGACCCCATACTTATTAGGAATATTCAAAATGACCCAATACATAATCAGTTTTATGTCTGATACACACACACACACACACACACACACACACATATATCTATCATCTATCTATATCTGATCTAATCAATAACTTAGCAATTGTATCTATAAGGCTACTGTACTTGCTAAAAATCATTGGTTGTGCCATCCTCAATGATATTATTTCTTGAGCCAAGTTGGGATATTTATAGCAAGATCTCTCTCCTCCAACCATTTCAGTTAATTTTGTCAGATGAACATATGCAATGAATTAGGCAATTTAACCACAAACACGAATAGTAAAATATCACAGAAGAAAACCCACAAGGAAAATTTAAGTTCAAATGATTGAGACTGGGAAAATATCTGGATTTTTTTTTTTTATCATCTTCAGGGAACTGTGTTATTGTTCACCAGGTTAAAATAACAAAGATTGAACAAGTAGAAATTTTAGTTCTTAGTCCATTTAAATTAATGTTGAATTTTGTTGCTAAGGAGTCTGGCCTGAAAAATGTAGGTTACCGGGAGAAGATTCTTAGGACATGCATTTTGGTCTAATTCTATGTAATTCTGGAAACTATGTATAAAATTGCAGTGTACACTGGAAAGACAGGGACTTGAGTTCTGTGTCACAGCTTTGGAAAGACAGGGACTTGAGATCTGTGTCACAGCTTTGCACTTTAACTTTGGACAAGTCATTTCAAGTCATGGAAGCTTACTTTCCTCTAAGGTACAATTGAGACCTCTCTCTCCCTTTCTCACCCTTCTCACCTCCTTTCCAAAGCTGCTGTGAAGGAAAACATGGCAAAATTAATCCAAAAAAAAGCTAATAATGGTATACGGCATTTAGCAGTAGATATATGAGACCTCTTTCTCTTTAAAAGGCTATTGATRGGGCTGGGGAAATAGCTCAGTTGGTAGAGTGCTTGCCTCGMAATACCCAGAAAACCCCCTTTAATGGTGACTTCTCTTCTTCCAATCCAGAAACGAYACTTTCTTTCCTTTCTCACTCTGAAAAATTTGCTGATTTAATAAACTCATTCACATAAGATTAAAATTAGGAGTGTCAAGTAGGTGTCAACTTTCATGTTCTATTGAATCAATTTGGAATGGCTTCCTGGACAGCTGTGCCAGAGAGAAGATTCTGGAAACAGAGCATACTGGGAAGAAATCTGAGGTTGATTACCAAGAGCTGCTGTGAAGGGAAAACAGGAAGGTCATGTATTTGCTGCTTTCCCTGGGAAGGTACTGGTAAATCTTTCCCCTTCCAGAAGCATTTCAATGTAAAACGTTCAAAGACATACTTCTAAGGAAGGCATTCCAAGTATCAGCCTGGGGGAGAGTGGAACAAGAATGGAGGATCTCCTTGACATCTGGCACTTAGCCTTCTGAGTGCAGTAGYAGAGATCACCACCTCCTGAGGGGTCCTGCATTATCTATCCCCATGCCCGAGGYCACTTCACTCACAATGAAAATTCATTTAACTGAAAAATGTCATTATTTTTGGTCAAACATGAAAGTTATCTTTTATGCAACACAGGAAAAAAAATCACTTGGGATTATTATTCATCTACTATTCCAATTAGTTAAAAATCTGCCCATCACCATAAGATGAACTGAAAATAATGAGTTTCCTTTTTGTTTMTCTGCACCCTTCAATCTTGGAACCCTGAGGTCATGTGAAAATAAACTCAGCTGCTTTCAGTGCTTGAGGGTGTAGAAACTTTTCTCCTCAGTCAAATAAATCAAACACATTTTGATTGACTTCCCTTTGTTTTAAGTTTTAGATTTATTCTTTTTTTCTTCACTGACCCAATCAACTTGTCTCACATTTCTGTTTTAAACCCTGGTAACTGAGACAAGCCCAGACTCCTCCCCCATCACGAAGAAATGTGGCTTATCTTACTGTCCCAAGTCTACTGGGAATCGAATCCAACCCACACTTTTCAAATCTCAAGTTTGGATACACAATTTTAAAGCACATGAAAATGGCATATTTCTGATTTTATGGTTTAACCTCAAAATTGTAACCAGGACCAGTCATTTTCCTTTATACTGTGTCCTATTTTTTGACTTAAAATACAGCCTTCTCTTTAACCACAGCCCTAATCCCCTTACATACTATGGGCCCAAGTCGAATATTTAGACTAAATAACAGAAATCTCTTCTTGAAGGAAAATGTTCAGAACTTTCTTACTATGTGTCCCAAAGTTCTTTCCTTTTTTTTTTTTTATAACCACAACGTTTTATTGCCTATAAATACAGTGCATATCTCAATTCCTTTTTGTTTCCCTAAGCTTCCAAGTCAATCATGGAACAAAGACTCCTTAGGACAAAAGCACTTTTTATATGTCCCTCGAGCAGAAGTTRGCATCGGTACAGAAGCTCCCAAGGGGCATGGGCATGGGGAGAGACAGGCTGAGCTCAGTTTGTGAGGCCCAGTACTTCCAGTGTGCATTGAAGAGACTAGCAGGCAAGAGAGGTCAAGAAGTTGATCTAAAGAAAGCTCTTTGTTTTAACAACCACTTTTTCTTAGTCCAGTGGTGCCTACTCATATCACAGTGTGTAATTGCTCATTTAGGATGATTCTTTCGCCTGAACCAAAGGAAGAAGTTATTCTTGAGGCTGAAGGAGAGAAAGAAAAAAGACAGTTTTGAAGAATGAGAGTTAAGGGGAGAGAAGACCTAGGGGAAAAGAGTATAGTTGGCAGCTCTTAGGAGCCAGAAAGGAGGTGGGCAGACATATAGCTCCACTTACCACAGCCTTGGTGGTTGCAACCACCCTGGGTCTTACTGCAAAGTCTCTACCTTTAACAGATAKGACTTCAGATGCTGAAGCCAAACAACTCAGAATCTAGTCTTATAAGTGTGGACTTAGGCCATGGTTCAATCCTATGAGGCAGACCCTATTATTACCCCTGGTTTACAGATGATGGAAACATGTACAGAGAAGTGAAGCAACTTCTCCAAAGTTTTAGTTTCTCAAAGCTGTAGTTTCCTCATCTGTAAAAATAGACACTGAACAGGAGTAGAGCTTATCAGCTCATGAAAATCAACAGAATAATTTACAAAAACCTCAGCACAGTGCTGGGCACTGAGTTCAATATCAGCTTCTGTCAGCCAAGACCCACAGCAACTATTATGTTGCATGCAGACTTGGTCCTGTGTGGGAAAGAGTTCCCACCATTAAGTGGCTTCCATGGCAACAAGTATAATGGCTTCTGACTCCC